CTTTTCCCTCCCTGTGCGAGTGTTTTTTCCCGCACCTTCCCGCACCACCTCACTGTGAAGCACGCTCAGACATTCTCACTCTAGTTCTTGAATAATCACGGATAAAAGCCCTGGGAAAGACCACCGCTGAGACATTCCTCTGTCCATCCATGCTCTATTTAGTCTACTCCCTACAGCTTTTGGCATCTTCTTGCTTCAGATTTGCCTAAACCCAAGGAACAAGTCWAGCCGTGTCAGTTTGGGACACGAAGCACAAACCAATCCTGATTGTGCTTTAATCAYACAGGCAGGCACTCCAGTCCTGGCAAATGGGCTGACCTGAGTGACCCAGAAGCCACAGAGACTCACCCCCAAGGTGCCTGACCTACAGAGGACATCCTTAGGCTCCTTCATTCTGTGTCCAGGAATTTGCACATTCTGCATGGAATAGTTGTGCAAAACAAAGCTTCCTTCTAGATAAGACAGAGGGACCAATAGACAGCTAAAGATCAGGGGAAGAGCTSTGAAATATTTTGATAATTTGGGAGATGGCACAGGGAACCCAGTGAAGCAGCTCAAACACTTGGGGATATCTTTATACATGAAATGCTGGACTCCATGCTGCAGGTTCCTAAGATTATTAATATGTCCATAATAAATGTAGTTCTTTAGAAAGTTTTGTTAGTCCCTGACAACAAAGCCTTACCAACCAGCAAATCCAACACTTTTGACTGTGCAGTACAGGTAAGGCAGCAGAAGCCTCTCTGRGGCCAATAATGCACTCTCAGGGCTGCAAGGGGCAAATTAAAGCCAAACCTCTCCCTGACATGAAATGGACACTCTCCTATTCACTCACTCCCAGGCCTGAGTGCCCTAATACCGAATCTAAAGTTCACACCCTTTTCCTCTGCCTTTTCCAAGAGCCTTCCCCAATATCTGAGCCACACAGCAGCTCCCCACTCTGACTGCATCCTTCCAAGCTGTAAATCCAACAAGCAGGAAGCACAGTATCAAATGCTTTTCCAAAAAGGTCTCAATAAATTCTTCCTACTGTTTCACTCAACAGGCCCATCGAGAKCAATAGCAGATGCAGGCAAATGCAAAACAAACACTGCTGGAGGAACAGCCCATGTCTGTGTGGAATGGCTCCATCTCACCATTCCCCCGAGGTGCCCCATGGCTCGACCCACTGCTCAGTGCCCCTTTCCCAAAAATAGGAAAGCAGGGAGGGCTGGAATGTACCTGCTCTGGGGGTGGGGGAAGAGGGTAGATAATATCCTCCTCAAAATTGCCATTAAAGCAGCCTGATCTGCTCATGTCTGAACCAAGCTGGGTCCTTGTGACGRTGATGGGGATGACCACGAGGACTAAATGCCTGAGTGCAGCAGGAAACACTGGCCAAGGGCTCGTGCTGTCCTTGAATGAGCCACATCCCAGCAGAGGTGGGTACAGGTGGGAAAGCAGCACCAGCATGGGAATGCCATTACAGCCTCTGAAGTCCATCAGCCTTCACCAGCCTTCCACCCAGCCTTCAGAAGCCCCAGCAAAAGCCTCACCACTGTGAACCCCTGGGCCTAAACCAGTGCTTAGCATCAGAAAATAACCTTTCTCCTTTTTCCATCATGGTTCCAGTCATGAGCTGCATATTATTTACAAGCACCTGGAAAGGAAACACCGATATTCAGGCAGCTTCAGACTTCCCAAATGATGTCCCTTCCCCCACAGATGCCTGATTTGCCAAGGTTTAGTGCCTGTAAATTTAAAGCTATTGTGTTTTCCTGGCATCTTATTTTTTATTCCTACCTTCACAGCTTTGTAAGGAATATCCCTGCACCAAAGGAGTCAATTTATTGCTGATACTTTCGAGCTCCAGTTTCCACAGCCTCATGAAAACAACAGAGAGAAAAAAAAAAATCTCACTTTGTTGAGGTTTTTTTTTGTTTTTTCAAAAAATACTGTTTTACCCACTGGAGCTGCAGAGGGGAGTGTGGAGGGGATACCAACACAACACGTCAAATTCATGTGCTGTGATTGACACCCTCCTGGGTGGGAAAGAGGGAAAGAAGCCTCAGCATTGGGAGAAGGAAGCACTGCAGCAGGATGAAGGTGGCTGTGTGGAGCACAGGCACTCACTGAAGGCCACCAGCACTTGGCTTTTCCCCCCGTGGTGCTGGAGTTGTTTATCCCCATGGCACAATTGTGCGCTCCACTGCCGCATCCCGCTGATTCTGGTTCCAGGGCAGCTCCAGGCTGAGGGCTGCTCCCCTCCCTGYTTGGGAGCACAAACTAACAGGAGATTTAAATGCATGGAACATGTCTGAGGAGCCAGATGGGCCAGGCAAAGCCTGATGTCAAGCAATGCCACAGCATCCTCCTGAAAGAGGCTGCAACCTCAGACGTCTCCCCAAATTATGTACAAAATGCATTTAATGCTTCCACCTGAAAGCAACCAGCACCAGCAGCAATTCCACCAGCAGCAAAGGAGTTAAAAACAAACAACCCCATTAACACAGGAAGCCTCTAACAAAGCTATATATAAAACAYGATCATTATTGATTAATTGAAACCCGCCCATCACCTTGTTTTGGGGCAGGAAAAACACAGTGTGTTTTTATTTCACCTTGATTTATACTCTCCAGAKTGAGGGGCTAGAGACATGTGACCAGATTTGCTGGGTTCTACATTGTTTTGGTCTGAAATCACTAAAAACCTTAGGAGTTTGTACCGAAGAGGCATCTCTGTGCCACTTGATGAGRATTACAGTGACCTGTCCCTTCGCTCTGGTTCCGTAGGAGCCTTTCACAGCACAGCCAATGTCATGAAACTCCTGCAGCTCCCTTGAAACTCATCCCAGATCTGTCCAAAACTTGGATCGATCTCATAAACCTCAGACAAGTTTAAAGCTGATGATGAATTAAGGTACAAAGTGRATATTTTCTCCTCCTGGAATTTGTTATTAAAAGCCATGAGTTTCCAAAGTGGACAAATAGTTCCTAACTGATTAATTACCTTCCCATCTCCTCTTGATGCCACAAGCCATCCATTAATAGATACCAATCATCCAAAAGGCACTTAGTACCTGACCATTTTTCTTGAAATTTTGGGGGTGGTGGGATTTTATTGATTTAYTTTAACAAGAACTGCTTGCCTTGTACCTCAGTTGGAAGCAGCTTGTTCCAGATATTTGACATTTGGAGGTCAGGGTGGATACAGGTCTTGTGATCTCTCTTCATCCCTCACAGAAAAATGCACAACTTGAAATGATGTTGCATTTTGAATCCTGTCACTGGAAAAAAATCCCTTATTTTCTGTGGGGAAAATAAATAAATCAGCCATCCAAATCTATCTGGGAAGAAGCAATTCTAAATTTCTTATTTATTTCTTTCAGGACCTTTTTCAGCCAGCTCTGGTTTGGAACTCACCCAGACATTTTGGAGCTGAGCTAAACACTTCGGAGCARTGCCCTTAAATCTGGAAAGAAGCCCCAGCAAAATTTTAAAGTGACACTTGGATTCGATAAAGTTACAGGTGTGCTCCTTGACCACTAAGATTCTGCTTCTGTTTGCTCTTACACAAGTGGGGCAAATCCCAGGTATTGGTGGATATGAGCATTAAAATCATGTGAAAAACACCACGAGGAGCAGAAGGCAGAAAGGAAAGGAGCTTCTCCTGTGCCGTATGAGCTTTAAAGTGATTTATTTTTAGCCTGCAGTTTGCTGCTAGAGCCTCTCATCCGTGGCTTTTAAGGCTGTTACTGCTGAGGTCTCACCTTGTCTTAGGTTTAAGGGATGCTCTGCCAAATCTGGGTTGCAGCAAGACACCACTGCGGAACAGAGCAAGTGCATTATACTGCACTTCCATACAGAGCTAACACATTTATAGCTTKTCTACAAAATCTTCTCTCTTTTATCCCTGTAATTACCCTCTCTAAAATTCACCAGGCAAGGGCAATGATTCAAATAACCTCTGTTTCCCACTAACCTGGATGTTAATCCTAGGCTGGCTCCTGTGCTTCAGCAAATCTCTTCTGACCTTGCAGGTGTGAGTAAGATGCTGTTTAAGAAACTCTGCCTGTCKGAATCTAAGCTGGAGGCACATGAGTGAGGACAAACCAGCTCATGAGGTACAGAGAGCCCCCTGTGCCTAAATTCAGCCATTCACACAAATATAATTTCATGTTCTGTCACCTTTCTTTGCTGCTTCAACACTGTGCTCACAACTATCTGCTGTGAATGAGTGGCCATGGCCAGTGTGTGATATTTTGGCCGCCATACATAGCAATAACCACCCAAGGAAACTCAAAGCTGATCAAGAGAAGCCAAGAGTAGAGGAAGAAAAAAGACTTTTTGTGATACCTTGATTGTCTCCGTGCAGACTCCTAATGGGACACAGATCCAGGTGGATGACAAATTACACCAACTGAGAAATTGTCTCTTACTGCCAATATCACAACAAAACCTCAGTTTTCTTCTGCCCATTCTTAGTCCTGACTATTTGTGCTGCAAGTTTTTTGAGGCAGAGAATTCTAATTTCTGGACCCACTTAGTGYTAAGGGATCACAAATGCAGCACGAGTTTCCAGGCAATACTTCAAGGCAAGTAATAAAACATTTATCTTCAATGGCCTTCTGTGCCTGCATGCTCTGCAAAGGAAACCATCAAAAGCAGAGCCACCAATTTAGAGCTGGAGTCTTCCAGAGGAACAAACCATGTGCCATATCCACATCTCTCTGGAAAACAAATGTTTGCACACCTTGACCTATTACAGAACATTTTCATTTCTTACATCATCATCACCATCATAATTTCTTTCTTTTCCTGCTGGAAAAAGTTTCCTTGATGTGCATGCCCACAGGGCCTGGACTCGTGGAATCTCTGACAATACCCAGACTGCAGCACCACTGGTGCTAAAACAAGGCTTCCTGACACTCTCACTGTTAGCTACACCAGAGCAAATGCTCCAGGGAAGATCAGCATGTCCAATTTGAGATGGTCACACAAACACAACTTCCCTCTTGCCTCTATTGAGATAATTAAGGTTAAAAGCATTTAGTAAAAGACCCGCAACCTTGCAAAACGAATACACTTTCTGCAGTGMGCCAAGGTGGCTCTTTTCTCCATGTCAGCAGAAAGCCTCCTGTGCTTCCCTCTGGAACAAAAGTGAAAGAGCCAAAGCTGCAGCTGGCCAGACCATGGAAGGGAAGGAGGGTCCCACCCACCCAGAAAYACCAGGGCACTGAGCATTGGCAAGTGGAACGGTGCTCAAGGGCACTGAGTGTGCCCTCAGAAAGGATGGAGACAAGTTCCTGGTGTCTCAGGCCTTTATTGCACAGAAGGAGAAATAAATAATCTAAAGGGTGAAATTATCAGAGATRAAACAAAGTGAAGGGCAGTGATTTTCCCCTCCTCGTAATGTCCAAACTGATATGTGGTGCTGGGGCTAAACTTAGTTTGCTAAAGCAGTTCTGAATCATCTGTCCCTTCAGCCAGGAAATGCTCTAAGTGGGCCCAGCTATTTCATCAGGTCTCAGGTCTCACATCRCAAAGGATGTGGGAAATAATTACGAACAGCTTCTAAGACATAATTTCACAGTTTTATAGAAGAGGTCATTATTCTGCATTACTGCATTTAAATGCATGATTTCAGTGTGAATATACTTCATAATCTTCCCGTACTTGCCACTGATTCTGGCCTATTGTCTAAYGCCTTAAAGTACTTTCTAAGACCTTGGTAATTGAAATGCTGAGGTAGAAAATTACTGTATTACAAGCAGGGAAATTCATGCCGAGAGGAGAAGTGAATTGACCTGGAAGGTCGCATCCATCCGTGGCACMGCTGGGAGTGGGGCACCAGCTCCTGCTGTCAACGTCACTGCTCCCAGGCAGAGCGTCCCCAGTCACCCAGAGGACATCTGAAATGGGGTGTTGTAAGCTTTTAGAGCAGCAACCATTTTTAGAACTCAGTAGGGCTTATAATTGAATTCTTTAAAAGGGTTATGCTGTCCTCAGTAACTCATCACTTTCCKGTGCTGGTCCCTTCATTTCCATTTYCCCCCCTCATTTTGGGTAAGATTTGAAACCCAGCAATGCTGTAGTTTGCATAAACAAACACGCCTCAAGTACATAAACATCCATTCACATCCTTTGTGCGTGCATTCAAGTATTTCACAAGGCACCCGTGGCAGCCATTAGCACTTCTAAATGCTTTTTAAAGTAACGCATTGATTTTGTTTTTGTTTTTTTTTCAAATGCGTGTGTCCTTCAGTGGAACTGGTTCCCGAATTCCTCTCTGCTGATGAGCGAGGACTGGTGGTAGCGGTCCCGGGAGGCGAAGTCGGTGTTCTCCTCGGTGAGCTGCCTGGTCTCCATGCCCACTGTGGCAAAGGACGGTGTCACCACGATCTGCTCCTTGGGAGATGGCCTTCTCCTGCAAAAACAGAGAGGCAGAGGTGCCTGTGTCACCCCTCGTTTGTCATCCCCCACCAGCCGAGCTCTTGGCTGTGCAAACAAGGCAGCATGATTCCAGAAGAGGCTAAAAATCCTTCTCAGTGCCCTTTGGAGGCTCAGAGCTGACCTGAAAGCATTTTTCTTAGAAGGCACACTGAAAAATGTACTCCCTTTCCCCAAAAACTCTGCAAAATATACATTTTCTTAAGAAATGGGTTTCCTCTTTGGGTGTTGGCTATGGCAAGCATCTTCCACACTGTGCAGGAGAAGAAGGAACCATTTCTAATGAAAAACATCCTTATAGTTTCCCAAGTAATAAAAAAACTACTTTTTTTTTTTAACTTCTAAATAAAATGGGAGATTTTCCTGCMATCTCTTCATCCCCCAAGCTGATTTTAAGAAAACCTTATTGGCATTTTAAAATCAAAACTGTAAGACAAACATAGCACTGACTAAGACCTCATCAAGCCCCTAAGAGCCTTAGAGGTGTCAAGAACCCTTGGCTGCCTCCAACTCCCTTGCAGTCTAATGGGATTTATTATTTTTCTCCAATTCATTAAAATATCTTGACTGGATTTCAGGAAAACAGGGCTTAGGAAAAAACTGTCAATTACTTCAATGCAATTTCTTGCGGCACAACATAGATGGGCTTCAAAATGATCCACCTGAATCCTGAGCCAAGCCCAAGTTGTCTTTGTGCCAGTAAGAGCAGGAGCCTTGGCACTACGGTAATAATAATATTAGTAGTTGTTATTATTGTTGTTGTCGTTATTGTTATTTTTATTATTGTCATTGTTATTATTGACTAACACATCAAACTGATCCTACTTCACTTTATCTAGTAATATTAGTTTGATGTGTTAGTCAATAATAACTACAATAATAATAATAATAATAATAATAATAATAATAACAGTTCTCCCAAAATTTTTCTATTCACCTAAACAAACAAATCCTCACTATCCAAAACCTACATTCCCCCACATACGTGGTGATGCATCTCAGTGCCCCTGCCTCTTGGGCTGTGCCATGATCTGAGAAATGCTTGTCAGCACTGGGCTCAGCTCCTCCTGAGCTTATCAGAAACCCTGTCTGCTCCAGGGAACTCACACTACCTAACAGCTCCTGGTTTTTAATGAATATCCTTGGAAACTTACTTTTCTTGCATGAATTACCCAAGTGCAGCAACATTTTTTTTTTATGGAACATTCAAAGAAAGTCACTGACTCAAATTGTGGCCAGGATGGAAAATTACTGTGACCAAAGCCAACTCTCTTGCTACACTTGAGCAGCAGCCCAGAGTGAGACCCTTTGAGCTCTCCTGGCTCACATGGGCTGAGAGCAGCTCTTCCCTCTGAGTGGGATCTCTGAGAGCAGTGAATTCCCAAATTGACTGTACCTGGAGGACCACTGACAAACACTGATTGGGCCATTGATATCCCCCTCCTCGAGGCTCAGCCMTTCACCTGCTGAGAAGATGTGAAGGCATCCAACATGAATATTTCACTGAACTGAAGGGGAGTTTTCCACAGGTTCATMCCTTGTACCGACTCTTCAGGTCTGTGTGCGTTTGAATGTGAACACACTGTGGCAAATTCACAATGAATGCTGCTTTCCTCGATACTAAAGTACTTTAGATYTGTGAGTTAGGCTTATAAGTGAGTTACTGTTGTGCTATAGAAAATTCCATAAGAATCTTCTGTTAAATTGTTTAAATTAASCTATAGATTAAGTTATGTCTRCGACCTGCTATGGGGACCTCAGAGAGGTTCCTCACCCCTGTTTTCCCTCCCTGAGCAACTCTGCTGCCACAAGCATGTGGTCATGCTGTAGGAGCTGTGGGCAGAGGCAGGACCTGGCAAGGCAGACCAATGTGCTCAACTGCACGGACTTTCATTGATTTTAAAGGCACCATCAAACTGGCACATAAAATGCATGGCAGCTCATGTTGCACAGTGCTCACTACAGCATTCACTCACCCCAACAAAAAAGCAAAAAAAGTGACCCAACAGACTGAGAAACTCAAAGCCCACTGCTCAGAGGCAGAAGTGGTCATAAGCTGTTATAGGAACCCTGATATGATGGGATTAATAATTAATAGCATCGAACAAGATTCTCAAAACTAGTTAATAACCAACCAAACAGAACCTTCAAGGTCCTCTGTGAATCAAAAGCCCAAGACAATGCTACTGCAGTCCCATGCAAATTCAATACTGAATTGTTCCTTCACCAAAGACMTTGTTTATCATATTTTCCCTGTAGTTTTTCTCCCTGAAACCTAAACACAGCTGCCATGTGTGCCTGTTCCACTGCTACCAGAGGAATTTGCTTTCAGTGAACAGTGGGTGGAAGAGAAGGAGCCTCCAATTTCTCATTTCCTTTCAGATGTTCCAGTTCAACCCGAGCCATAAAGGTTGAGCACAGACCTTTGGGGTAAGAAAAAGCTTCAGACACCAAGATAAGGTTATCAGGTGACATTCCCACGTACAAAGCAAACTCTTGCTTCCCCACATGCACAGCCAGCCATATGCCAGGCTAATGGGAGCAAAGAGCTCTTTCTACCCCTAAGTAAGAATAACTCTGAGTATGCACGAAGGAGGAGAAAGGCTGCTTATGGTAATGAGCAAGTCAATTCTTCCAGCCCTCTCTGTGCACATTAGTAGGTCACAGGAACAATGGGCAGTGTGTTGGTCACTGCCAAGTGACTGGTACCGACCTGCATGAAGTGATCAAAACCGACTTAATCCAGCCAAAGAAACTGAAATTTGCTGCTGCTCCTATGGAGAAAAGGCACAAGAAGTCAGTATGCTGCTAATTCTCTCATAATAGCATTACACCACTGAATTTTCTGCATAAAATCTCAAAACAGCACGCCTGTTATTAGCCTGTGGCATTCAAAGATTTTGTGATAGTGATAACATTCCTGCAGTCTTCCTACATGCTGTGGCTTTTAAACAACTGTCAAGAAATGAACCCAAATTTCCTATGGAGAACAGTTTTCTGTTCCCAGCCCAACAGCTTGTTAAACCCCAGTGAGGCATGAGCAAAGCAGACACCCACTGCCAGTGCCTTTCACTCCCTGGGCTGCAAAAACCATTCCTACCACAGGGATGGGAAGATGGGAGCAGCCATTCAGCCAACCTGAGCCAAGGTGGCTGTGGTCTCACCATTCATCCCCTCTTGTCTGACCCCACAGACAGCTGGCTTTTACACTAACACTGATTTCTTTTCTCATTTCTCAGCAGAGTTAGTTTCCTGCACSGGCTCCCTGCAGGGACAGGGAAGTGCCAGAGCTGGAAGCAAAAGCAGCAGAAGTTTATGGTGAGGAACAGGGAGAGCCGAGACCTGTCAGTGCCTGCTGGATTTGACTCAGGCTGCTGGGGAGGAAAAGAGAGGAGAAGGGAAGTGCCAATCACAGGGATTTCTCCTCTCAAGGTCTTCATCCAGCCCCTAATCCAGAGCATCTCTCAGGCCTGTGTCTCCCATCCTCTCTAGACAGAAGAGCTGTTTCATCTTTTGAATCAAGATCATCAGAAGCCTTGTGACCACAAAATAACATTCCCTAACAGCCAAATACAAATCAGGCTGAATTTTGAGCATTCRCTTCTAGCATTTTCAATGCCATGCATTGTTTCGTTGTATGCATGAGAATGCACGTGCAAAAGAAACCAAGAAGAAAAGTCTAATCATGTCAATATTTCCTCAGATCAGCTTCCAAAATCCTCTACACRCTGACAGAAAAGTCCTTATTAATTTTTGGTAAATATTTCAAAAGCATGTTACAGAGATATAACACAGTGAGTAAAAAGGCAGAAAAGATTCCAACACCTGTAAACATTATTTGTGTATTGTTTCATATATGGGGGCCATAAACAYCTTTGTTAAAACCTACATATATATGTTTCAAGAGATAAAAAATTAGCAACTACTATCCACAATCTCAGCTCTTTTCTACAATGCTGTACAGATACATAGAAAGGAAGTCACTTAAGAGGAGAAAAAGAACAGTTGAGTAATATTTGGATGATGGTGGTTAGTTTTTGGTTTCTCATCATCTGCGTTTCTGAAATCTAGTGCTTACATACCTACTGTCTCATAATCTTTCACCTAAATAAGACAGACAGCTGTTTCTGCACTGGATATGAACTCAGGCTCTTGGTTTTTCTCGTCCTGGACAACAGACTGCACAACCAAGCATGTGCTCAGCTATGTATGCACACACCTACCTATGGATGGATGGATGGATGGATGGATGGATGGATGGATGGATGGATGGATGGATGGATGGATGCATGCATGGATGGATGGATGGATGGATGGATGGATGGATGCATGCATGGATGGATGGATGGATGGATGCATGGATGGATGGACGGATGAAGGGATGGACGGACAGATGGACGGATGCACATGCTCATGAGCAGGTGAGGATGCCCACACCATGTCCCCTCAGCCATGCACACCCCTCCACTGGCCTTGCCAAGCAGCTGCAGGCTCTCCCTCGCTGCTCGCTGAATGTGCCTCACTGTTTAATTTTGAACTTGTCTAAGCCGATCACATGAACAGATCTTTCTAATGCCCTCTGCCAGAAGTATTTTCCCAGATTACGTTCCCAACATATTCAACATGTTTAGCTCTGGAATCAAAAGGCTSTCTTGTTCCACAGTTATGAATGCTGAGATTTGATGAGACACTCATCATAATTCCCATTTTCTTTAAAGTTCTCTCAGGTGGGTTTAGATTKATTAGGTTTATTAAAACTTATTTACTGCAGATTTTTCTCATTGCTGTGATAAATTTATAAACTGCCACCCCTATCAAGTCTGAGTATCTGGTTTTGCCATTTAAAGCAGAATACAATAAAGCAATAAGGGCTATGTTCAAACTATTCAAACCAATGCTAGTTACAGTTAGATTTCAATAGAAAATTAAAGACTCAGAGAGAAAATGTATTAAAACTAGCAATGAAATAAAACCTCATCATTCACTGTGCCACCTGCATATTAAACACAAGAGTCTCAATTCCTAATTAAGTTAAATTAAAGTTTAATGAATTTTTAGGCAGGTTTAATAATATGAGCGAAAAAAAAAAAACCTCACCAAGAGGGAGTCCTGGGCTCACTTGGCCGATGTAGAAATACAGAACAATCGCTGCTCCCAGGCTGACGAGGGTGTAGATCCACTGAATGACAAACATGATGATGAGRGACACAATTGCCTGTTGGGAAGACACAGTTTGGGGTCACCCCAGAGTCCGGGAGGTAAGACCACGTTGACAATCTGACAGTAATTTCTCTGAAAATCCCATTTTCCCATGTTACTGGGAGCCCCCTTTGGTCTCACTCTTAAAAGGAGGGACAGCACAGGGTCACAGTGTCACTTCAGCAGCATGAAGGTGTCTCCAGTGGCTACCCTGAGTCTGAGAGGCAGCGTGGGTCTCTGCTTGGGCTTCTCCAGAAATATCCTGAGGTTCACCAGCTCAGGAGGAGATTTGGCTCAAATTGCAGTGAACAGGGGCAGAGGGAGCATCTCTGTGGGAGAGATCGGGGGCAGCAAGGGGCAGCACACAAAGAAAGAGCTAAAACGGTCCCAGCTGGCACAACCAGTGCAGCTCAAAGAGAGAAGGCAGAGGGGAGAGGAGTCAGGATGTATAAACACATCCAATTTTTGCATTGTGATTTTATTTTGCATCGTGAATCCCATCCCAGCTTTGTTACAACCTTCTCCCAAGCCTGGCTATCGACAGGAAAGCAGCTCTGCTTTAATGAGCAGGTCAGTCACTCCGTAAGCAAATGTGATGGGCACTTGGGAGCCACTTAGAGACAAGCCCAGAGATGGCATCAGCACACAAACTCCTGAAAACACCATCCTGAAGAGGGGCCACYCCTCCCAGCCCACCCCTGGTACTGCAGCCCTCACCAGCAGCAGCAGTGAGTTTGAAAAGAGGGGGTCGAACTCCATCTGAAAGCTGAACTAACAGGGTTTGGTGGGTTGTTTGAGTGGGTTCGTCACATTTCATGCACAGAATGAAATCCTCATCCATGCAGCAAAGCCATATGGCTCATTCATTATGCATATCTGACCCWTTCCCTGTCATCTGCCCAATAATCCATCTTCCCAAGATGCATTTAAGTGTCCTAAACTTCTCAGCAGYTCGAGGCAGAAGCTATTTAGAAGTTATTTAAAGTAACATGCTGTAGGAATGCTCTCCTTTCCTCCCTCAAAAGATGGAATTTCACAGCCAGGCTGCTGGTATCGGGAGGTCAGCACTAATGAAACCCCACCCCAAGCTTGCAGAAACCGGCTCATGAATAAAAGCAACACAGCTTTGAAGCTGATATCTCAGTCCATCCCACAGCAAGAAAAAGCAGACTGGTGAAAAGAGGGACTGACTTTTTTTTTGTTTTTTTTTTTTTCTTCCCCCCACCCCCACCATGCTGCCTAAGATTCCAGACCTTGATTTTGTACTTTTGAGTTGGGGCTTATTTGTTTGTTTGCTTGTTTCAGTTTTTTCCTGTTATTATTCAATTTGCCATCAGGCTTTCCCTAAATTTGAAGTGCTGGATGCATGGTACCTTGAGTATTTARTTCAGGTGACCAGGAATACTAGAATCAAAAGCCATTATTTAAAGTACTGGAGAATTTATACTGCAGTATGTGATGAATTTCCTTCTGTTTTCTACAATCACAAACCTGCTCAAAATAAAAGTAAGTTTCTTACACCAGCAAAGGAAATCCAGTGACTGAAAAATCTGGAGTAGAAGGATTCTGGTATTTGCTGAATTCCAAGTTCTGGACTTTGTTGCTTTATGGATGTTTCTACAGAAAAGAAAAAAAAAAGGGGGGTGGGGAAAACCCCAAAAGAGATACATTAGAAAGGAGCTATAATGTGGCGTTTCTTTCCTCTACTTTACATTACCAGATTCCAGGAACCAAAGCAAAAATTCTAGCTGATAGCTGTRTATGACAGGGTTAAACCAAAACCTCTAGAATGAAAACAGAAAAGCAGTGCAAGAAAAAACCCAAAAAAATTACCGGCTCTGGTACTAAGTCTATTTGAAGGCCACATCTGTCTATCTCTGCCTCAATTTCACAAACTGTGAAATGAGAATAATAATACTTTTCTCCCTCAGAAGGGTCTAGGAAGCTTGACTGACCAAWGCTGATGAAACAGCACAGCACTGGGAATGCTCAGCTCTCTGCTCACACACAGCATCAAACACCTTCATCACCCTCAAACTTCATCACCCTCACTATGGATGCTCTTACAGACTCCACCTGTGCTGTGGCCACCCCTGCATTTTGACAGCCTGAGTTTTAGGCTCCCACAGCTCCAACCATGCCACCCCACACCAGGGTGAAGGAAATCCCAAGATACACCCAGGCCCTTTTTAATGTACAGCATTCAGCATGTCTGTGAAGAATTACGAGTATATCGTAAACAACCCAACACTAAATTTAGTCCTGCCTGCTTTCCTGTGATTAATCTTCTGTAGGAAATTGCATTGGAACTCCTCCTGTGATGCATTGCAATGAACTCTACCCTCACCTGGAATAAATGATATTATTGCTATGAATCACTGAATGACAGCCCCATATAAAGCTCGTTTCACGCCTGCCTTCAGGAAAGCACTGGGAGGACCAAGGTTATAAACAATTTCCTCTGAGCATGGAGATGTCCATCTCCTGCATCCCTTACCGCCTCCCCTGGGGCCAGGGAGCATCATCACTTCACTGCAGRGCTGCTCCCTCTGCTCCAGTGTCCTGGGAATGTGCTGGGCATCCTCAGTGSGTGATGAGCACAGACCCACATCCCGCTGACTGCCCCTCTCATCCACATCCTGCTGGCTCTCCTGGGGCTCCGTGGTCTCATCCCAGCTGTACTGAGCCAGGGGAGCATCGTGGTGGAGATCCAGGAGAAAGCTGTCTTGTAATGTCTGCTTGGCTGGCTTCTTTGCCTTTTTTCGTCTGGCCTTTTGGGTTAAATTCTCAGCTCCTTCTTTTTTGCAAGCACCCGGTTCACTAAAAAACTGTTTAAAAAGCTGGTCCATGTCTTTTTTGAATTCTAGCAAGGTGCCATTTGATCTGCTTTGAATTASCCCATCTGCTGCAGGGCTGGGGGCCTTGTTGAGAATTAAAGGCTGGGAAGAGTGAGCAGGTCTAGCAGCTCCCATCTGGGTCTCGTCAGGTTTCTGCTGGATATCGTAGCTCAAGGAGAGAGAGAAGTAGGAATAGTCCACRGCAATGTAAGTCAACATGAAGTTGATGGTGACGATGGGAGCGAGAACGTTCACTTGCCCGATGAAGACAAAAGCCATGGTGATGAGACTTGTCAAGCAAATCGCAGCCACTGGAGTCTTGTTGGGGCCTTTCTAGTCCATAAATAAAACAAAATTACATTTGAATAACCATGAACCTTGCCATGAGGATCCCCCACTTGCTCAGCTGCCATATGTGGTTGCCTGGGTTGTCTGCAGTACCCCCTTAACCATGAAATACATTCATGCACGTGCAAACAGAGGCTCATAAATTAAAGAACAGGCTGGAAGCCAAAAGCTGTTGAGCTCCCACCTCATCCCCAGGCCTTACTCAAGCTTTGTCTTTGGTAAATTCATCCACTCTCGCTCATATCTCCATGGTGAAACAACGTCACTGAACCAGCAATAAACCTTCAAAGAGATTTGTGGGGCTTATGGGAAATCTGGCCATAAAACGTGTTAATTAGAGTTAACTGTTCATCTCTAATTATTCCACAGGACTCTGCATCATTGCCTACCCAAAAGGCTCCCCAGGCTGCCCTTGGAACAGCTCTGCATGGAGCAGTGCCACCTTCACATCACAGATTCTGGCCAGACAGCAGCCCAGATGAACCCACGGTCCACTGATCCCCTGCTTGTGGGGTTCCTGTGCTTCAACCTACCCCAGCAGCAGCGGGGAGCAGCAGGGAGGCCGGGCAGGTGAGGAGGTTGGGGGTGGGAGACAGCCCCCAGCAATGCTGGGCATGTGCAGGAGGACAGGCAGCCAGGAAAAACATTGCCTGCTCCTCTCCTTTGGGGTGGGGCCAAGGCAGGGAAAGGAGAAGGAGAAAGAGAGACAAAACAAAGAGCATCAGGGGTGGAAATACTTGAGCATTTGGATCATGCCTTTAATCCCWGGTCTAACATATCCTTTCCTTGGATCAGGCATCATCTTGCCATTTTGCCACCTGACAAGCCTGCGCTAGCTGTGCAAAGACTTCACTAAAAAATATCTTACAAGATATCTTACAAAATATCTTAGATCTTCACTTAACTGCATTTACTTATTTAAAAAACGCCCAGCTCAAATGGAAACTCTGCTTTCTCCACTCTTATTTATTAATAGAAAAGAGGACCAGTTCTGGATCACTGCATCTTTTCAGAATGAACARAAATACATCTCAGGGACAAAGGAGCACAGATCTCAGAAGGGATCTTCAGTATCAGAAAGATGTGCTGAGATGGGGAACAGATGGGGTGATCTCAGGATGGTCTGGCTTGGGTTTAACTCTGCAGATAATATTTGTGTCCTTCCCATCAGCTGGGGTTGTGGTGACCACACCAACTTCTTCAACCATGGAAAAGGAGAACTGATGTGAAATAGATTGGTAAGAACAAATTAAATGTATTTACTCTCCAGAAACCWAATCTAAACCTTTTCCAAGGTGGCAGAGAGAAGGAAGGGGGGGAAGTGATCTGCCTTAAATTTCTTACCTCTTTTTGAGCCCTTCCCATCGAGACACTCGGCCTGGAGTTCAGAGCAGAAAATTTGACAGAAAGACAGAAAACTATGGGAGAAGAAAGGGAATCAGCTTTGCTAAACCACTGAGAATTTCACAARGGTTGCCAAGGGGAGAACAGCTTATTCTGGAATCACCTGAAAACTGCCTTCAGGAGCTGAAAGTTTTTGCAGTCACAATTGTTCCTCCTTTCCCTACAATCATTACTATTATTTTTGCTATTATTATAACTTTTTGTTTARAAAATTACTTTTAGAAACATAAAACAATGGAGAGAAAAATATTATMCCTATAAAACATTTAAATGTTTTAAAACATTCATAAATACCAATATTGAAAAATATATTTACAAAGTATTTACAAGCTGCTCTGGTGGAGCACAGCATCATCAGGCTTTTTCAGCCACTCTGCACAGACTGTTAGGTACTGCAGGTTACTGAGAGTGATGGAATWATTTTCTCCCAACCCAGAAAAAGGGAAAATCATGCATAGATGTATAGCCCAAKACCACAGATTCCTTGGTGATRATACCTTGAGTGATATCAGTAGAAYGACTCGTGCATAAAGATTATTCATGAAACAAGGAGAAAGCTTCTTGACATATTCCTTGACTTTGTTTCAAGGCATATCTAAAGCTTAAAAGCCCCCTAACTTAACCTTTCAAATCTATTCCTTTTTTTTTTTATTTAATAGAGTCCAAAAGGCACCTTATCTTACAAAGAAGTGTCCTCTTCCCCAGCGCACACAGACTGAATGCACAGCATCACCACTGCTCACGTACTTGGTATGAAGTYACCACGGAGGACAGGGACAGATCAAAGAAAATGTGCAGGAAAGAAAAAGAAGAAGAAAGGAAACAGAGAAAAGGTCACCATCCATTTCACCAAATGCTGGGACAAAAGATTCAGGCTTCTGCCCGCGAACAGGAGGGCAGAGGGGAGGTGGGTGCTTCCTTTGGTCATGGTTGGGATCAGCACAGTGGATAAGCTGTTTGCATCCCAAGTGCCTGTTTTACCGGGGATATCTTGAAGAAGCGGGTCAGAGGGAGGGAGGGAATTGTGGGCAGCCCAGGAGGGGCTGTCTGTGCGTGGGGCACATGTCCTGCACAGTGCCAAACCCCAGGAAAGGCTGTCTGTGCATGGGGCACATGTCCTGCACAGTGCCAAACCCCAGGAAAGGCTGTCTGTGATGGGGCACATGTCCTGCACTGTGCCAAACCCCGTGGGAGGGCTCAGAGCAGAGGCAGTGCACACAGCAGACAGGCAGGGAAAGGATCACAGGCAGTTGGATGCTTGGGGTTTGTTTTTTTTTTTATAAAACCACCCATTTCCTGGCTTTTCTGCCTCTGCACAGGATGCCAGACCCTGAGCCTTCCCCTTGCATTTCATGCATCCCCCATCTCACTCYGCAGACACACAGAACTCTTGGCTTCTCAAGTCCAGGGGAAGGTTTGAGAGCAATCCCAGGAAAAGGATCACTAACCCCACGTCCAAGGAAGGCGAGCGTGGGGATCACGTTCTCCTGGGCGATGCACTGCAGGATCCTGGGTGCTCCGTACAGCCCTCCCATACAGGAGGCCAGGGATGAGATGTACAGCCCTAGCAAAAACAAAAACCCCACCAAGGATACCTGGAGGAAGCAAAGAAAAAAGCAAACTTCATTATATTTTGTCTCAAACACACCCAAGCAGTCTTAAATAGGTGTGCTTTAAGAGATCACATATATTTTGTAACATTGTTAAATGAACAGAGCGTGCCCTGKGAGAGCAGCAATTTAATTGGTCTGTGGTATAAAGTACAAGCAATTAATACAGGAAAATTATCCCATAAAAGTAATTTAATACTGAACATCCTGTACCGACAGAACCATTTTACAAGCTCATATCCAAGAAATTCTTTGTCACTTGGAGAAAGTGCAGCAGAGCAGCAGCTAATAGATTCCCCCWAAGTAACTGGAAGTGAGTTTATTTCAGGCAAGATCACTTATATACAGAGCACATCATACAGGAAAAGCTGCCCAGGCTTCCCACCATCCAAAACAGGAAGACAAACCCCTGTGTCTCAGAGGGGAAAACCAACCCTGAAAGAAAACCCACAGTAAAACCAAATCAAAATTGCCACTTAAGTAAATGGCATCTCAAAAAACACGCTCCAAAGGATATAATACAATGACCTTATTTTCCTGTCTTCAATGAGAAAAGAATTTCCTTTGGACAACATGAAACTTTAGAAAAAAAAWTTTTTTTAAAGCCATAGTGCTACCAAGGCTGGTTTTAGAACTGGTTTCTGGTAAGCACCCTTTCMAGCTGGGAGCATCTCCTGCAGGTGTGGAGGGAAAGGAAGGGCAGCTCCTGCTCTGCCACACAAAAGTGAGGATTGGGGTCCTCCCAAGCAGGACCCCATTKTCGAGAGCTGCAGGCACAGACAGCATATCTAAAAAACCCCACCCAAATACACAAAAACCCACAATATAAACATTGTGCAAGAGAGCWTTGAAATGGGAGTGCTCCTGGCACCACAGCCTAAGGATATGGACAGAAAAAAATGAAGGAAACCAAGGTCTGGGGCAGCTGAGCCACCCCCAAGTCTGCAAGAGCACACCAGGCTGACAGGCAGCAGCCAGGCACAGGGAATTGCAAGGCATTGGGAGCACCCACACAAGGGCCAGGCAGGGAGAAAAACCCACATTTTGTCCCAGATCCAACATGCCCATCCTCCTCTGGAGTGAGTGGCGCAGGTGCAGACAGACACCTGTGGCAGAGGATGTCACCAAATGCAGGTCCCCTGCATCCCATTTGTCCTTTGCTCCCACCAGTTCCCCCGTGGAAAATAAAGTCTAAATGAACACGGGTCCACCCAGCTCCTGCCCCCACTGAAGTCAGGTGGCACATGCTTTATTAGAAAGAATTACAAAAGTTTTCTTGGCTAAACCTGATCCAAGCTACATCTGACTTTTTCTCATCTATAAAATCTGCAGGCAGCAAAAAGGAGATTGGGTAAAAAGCCATCAAGAGCTTGCTGTTGGGGAAAGGCATGTAAAATTAATGTCACAATCCGGAACCGTTCAAACTTCCTACCACAATATTTCTTCTCCCCATGAAAATCCACTTACGAATTGTATCTTGTGGGACAGAAGGAACCTGAGGCAAAGATGAGCAGATACCAGCTCTCATTAGACCAACAGACAGACACTCAGTGGGGAATCCTCCCTTCCCTCTCCCCTAATCCTGCCCTGCTCTGAGAAATACTCGGAAGAAACAAACAGTKGTGCCAGACATCATATATTATTTTAGCTGCCAAAAATGCTTGCATTTAAATGTGCTACTTGACATTCAAATCAGGGTTAGAGGGGAAGAGTCCCTTTCACYGAGGCTGATAAAAGGTTTTGCTATGGGTTTTGAACATAGAGTGTGAATACATTGCAAGGAATTGGCAGTTGGAGCTCATTAGAAGTGAAATTACTGAACCTCATTTTTATGTTTAAAAAGCCAAACAAATATTGTAACAGAGAAAGGCGGCCAAGCCCTTGCTCACCTGTGATAGAAAGGGAGAGTTTGGAGCAGTAATGATCTCTCCCCCTTCTCTGTCTCCAAAGTCATTAAAATCTAGGGCAGCTTGTAATAATTCAAAGAAGAAACATGAATATTGGGATTGCATAGTTGGTATTAGGGGAAAGAAAACTGGGTGGTGGTGGGGTGATGTTTGTTTGGTTAATTTTTATATTTGACATTTTTAAATATGTTCTCATTCTTTACATTCCCATCACCCCCCTCCAAGGGTTCTGAAGTTAAAACTCAGCTTTAACAATCTCTTTCTCTTCAGCAGATTTGTTTAAAGCTGATTGTTTTGGTTACTGCTCTTTTTGCCCATTAAGTCACTGTCATACAAAGAGGTTGCCTTACAGAAGGCAGGCTCATTTGCTTTTTTTCCTGAAACAGAGGTGGGCTTTTTTACCTCAGCAGAAAGTGTCAGATCCCCAGCAATAATTGGGAGTTTACTGGGTGGTTGGAAGAAATTTAGAGCTGCAATTACTTAAAAAACAAAGCCATAGTTTCAAATTCATATTTTAGATCAAAATCATGTTACAGATCAAACTACGTAAACTTCTCAACTTCAAATGAATCACAAGAAATAGTGTCAAATACAGTGAAACATGATTTTGGGTAATGCCAAATACCAGAAAATTAGCCCTTCTATATCCCATCCAAAGAAAGACAATGGCACACCAAAATCTCTTGCCCTCTTTTTAGAGGGCTGCAGTGGTGAGGTTCACTGTGTGTCCCACCACAAACCCCCTCGTGTCAATATTTCGTGTGGAATGTCTGGAGTTTAATAATCCTCTTGCTCACCCTGCAATTACAGCCTGCAGATATGGAAATGTGAGCTTCGCTTGACTTAGTGAAGATAAGCGGGGGGGTTCTTTAGAGATTTCAATTTGGTCTAAGCTTCCAGCAGCGAGAAAGGATACACTGAATAAAATACAGCATTTATCATTAGACCACATTAGCATACTTCAGCTCTTAAAGCTATTGCTGGGTGATTATGCCAAGCTTCAGCATTACTGGATATGCTGGTGAATGCAAAGCTATTCAAATCGATTGTACACTGGGATTTGCAAGGGGGAAATCCCCCTGAATTTTAATGAGGGATGCGTTCCCAAATTCTTTGGGCTTTTGGAAAACTTAAGTGTTCAGTAAGGCAGATGGCAACCTGAAAGCACCGTTTTATAAAASCACAAGTTACCTTCTCTGCGATCATGAAGTCATAGCGGAGTGACTGACGGGTACAAATGGCTCCCAGCAAAAAAACAAAGACCATGTACAGAAACCACCTGCAAACAGCAAAAAAAAAAAAAAAACCAATTTCTCCACAGCAAGACAAGACCACTGAGAATTCTGCCCGTAGGGAACCCAGGAGACACTCAAATACCCACAAGTTGGGTCTTCAGTCACTCTGGATGTTTCCTGCATGATTCAGGGATAAAGCTGACAACAGTCCATGTYATTTCCCCAGTGTGATGTGCCACACCTGA